TGTGCTCCCCATTCTGCTCCTTCCTTCCCCATCATTGGCCCCATTTCCGAGGTGCACTGGGAGGCTCCCCTTCTATTTGGAGCTTGATGACTTTCTTTTTGTAGCTGGGGCTTTGCTGTTCCTTCCAGTGTCATTTCTCATCCACATACCCTGACCCGGTCCCCTCAGTGTTGTCACCAGATCCAATTTGTAATCCACTGAGAGGACAGAGGGAAATAAGTGCCCCTCCCACCCTCTTCCTAATCTCTCTATGCCTCTCCAGTCTCTTGTCTCTTTTACCCTGACCCCTCTTCCTTGGGCTCTGATGAAAAATTGCTGACTGTAGCTTTGGAAGTTTAGCTCTGAGAACCGTAGATGATTTCAGTTCTAGGAAAATAAAACCCGTTGATTACTAATGATGGATTCTGACTGATTCTTTGGGGGTATATTGGTTAACTGAAGACAGAAAGTGGGGTAAGAGATAAGAGAATGCAGATGATTTCCAAATAATCTCAGATTGAGGTAGGGGTGTCAGCCTCCTCCATTCTTAGGCATTTGGAAATCCAAACTTCCACATGTGGGCAGTGTCCTGGAATAAACCACACCATTCATTCTACCTGTCCTCTCCAGCCACTGTTTAATGCACCTGGGAGAGTTTCTTTAAAAAAAGAGTTTGCACAAGAAGTAGGGTGTGGGAGGATGCCAGTACCGGCCACAGCCCAAAATGGCCATGAAGTGGGAGTTTGAGGGCTGGTTGTATAAACAACCTTGACCCCAAAGGGCAAGTCAAATAAGAGGATAACCCTTTCTCCTTGCAAATGCCAGGGGTGCCTGCCACTCTTAGCTGGTGGTGGGGTGGTAGGGGGAGGGCGTTGGTAGGGTGAAATCCCTCCATTACTCCCCGAATTAAGTGGAATGACTGGCTTAGATCATTTCTGTTTCCTTCCAGATCTGACATTTTCTAACTAGATCGGCTACTAGCATTGGAAGGGCCCACGTTTCATCCCTTCCTCTAGAAAGCCTACGGCAGTTATTTAATCTGCCCTGCCCCAACTCCAGCAGAGAAGGACAGGGAGAACACTGGCTGTAACCCTGTCTACAAAGGGCGGCCCTTTGCCTTGAACAGGAAGCCACAACTACCTAGAAAATGGAGCCATTTTCTCTAGAAACTACAACTCCCAGCGGCCTCCACGTAGAGCATGCGCGGGAATGTGCCAGGCGGGCCGCCCTGACCAGCCGGCATTTCGCTTCCCGACATGCTTCACGGTGTGTTTTCGTTTCCTTGATTTCCTACCCCGGCCAAACTTCCTGGTTCCAACTTCGTAAAGGCGGACTACAACTCCCAGCAGGCTGACAGGTAAGATGTGTGGTTGACACAATTGGACTACATCTCCCAGAAAGTCGACGGGCGTGGCAGGGGAGGGGACGCTGAGGGCCCATGTGCTGAAGTCTTGAAGTGCCGCGGAAAGTGGAGGTGAGGGCCGCCCGCCTCAGAGGTTTTGCAGTTCCAGGGCTTGTCCGAGAGGCAGGTGCGAAAAGGGCCTATCCTTTTACCAGGCTGTGGCTCAGTCACCTCCCCAGGGTTTCTCTGCACTGGAAGTTTAGAGCGGGTGGGTACTGAAGACAGCTAGGCCTTGGCGATGCCTGCGATGAGGCTGTCTGGGGAAGCCTTTGGAGCCGTGACCTTCGACCCCATTACATTGCACGGCGCCTCCGGAACATGCAGGGAAAGCCCCACAGCGGGACGCTCACCAACAGCATCTCCGGATTTTGGAGGGAAAGAAGCGAACGATCTCGGGGGCATGCAAGCTGCTATGGGCTGGGCTGGTTCAGACCTGGCATGACTGAGGTGAAGGTGATTGCTGCTCCTTTCAGCAATCACGCTGGAGGCTTGGGTTTTTTAACTGGCTCCTGCTCCTGTCAAGCTGTAGGAACCAGGGTAGTCACTCCGGCTCTCAAGGCCTTGATTTCCTTGTCTGTAAACGGGACTTTATGACGCGTCTGGCAACCTCACTTCCCTCACTGGGCCATGTGAAGACGAAATGCCAGCAGAGAAATTCCCAGCGTTAGGTTTGTCATATAGTAGTACCCCTTAAGCATTTGTCGAATCTGAACAGGAACACTTAGGCCAATCAGCATTAATTGAAAATAACAGGTTTTTTTGTTGTTGTTATTTGTTTCTGTTTCTTTTTCTGAAAATAACATCAGGCCTTTACACTGAGAAGTATAAAGAAAAATGACCCAGTATCTCACTGCTCAGATAAACTGTTAATACATATTTTTAAATATACATGGTTAGAAAATGTAAACGTAATGGGAAGGAACAAAGTGGAGTTAGACCTCCCAAACAGCTCCCCTCCCCTAAGACAGGTACTTTGCTCTCTTGTTTCCTTTCCATAAATATACCTGTGCTGGAATATATATTTGTATATTTTCCCCAAAGGGATAATACTACTCACGTTATTCTGCACCTTGCTTTGTTAAAATATTTAAAATAATTTAAAATTTTTAAAATTTATTAAATTATTAAACGGTGGCCCACCCCTGTAATCCCAGCACTTTGGGAGGCCGAGGCGGGCAGATCACAAGGTCAGGAATTTAACATGGTGAAACCCCATCTCTACTAAAAATGCAAAAATTAGCCAGGTGTGGTGTCACATGCCTGTAAAATCCCAGCTACTTGGGAGGCTGAGGCAGAATCGTTTGAACCCAGGAGGTGGAGGTTGTGGTGAGTGGAGATCGCGCCACTGCACTCCAGCCTGGGGGATAAAGCAAGACTCCATCTCAAATAATAATAATAGTAACTTAAATGACACAATCCTGTCAATCTTTATGGATGATGAAACTGAAGCTCAAAAGTTAAGTTGCAGGCTGGGCACAGTGGCTCACCCCTGTAATCACCCCTCTGGGAGGCCAAGGCAGATGGATCACCTGAGATCAGGAGTTTGAGACCAGCCTGGCCAACACGGTGAAACCTGTCTCTACTAAAAATACAAAAAAAAAAAAATTAGCTGATCATGGTGGCGCATGCCTGTAATCCTAGCTACTCAGGAAGCTGACACAGGAGAATCACTTGAAACCTGGAGGAGGAGGTTGCGATGAGCCAAGGCAACACTCCTCCTGGGCAACAAAGAGCAAAACTCCATCTCAAAAAAAAAAAAAAAAAAAGGTCCTTCCCTTGCCTCTTTGCTCCCCTGTTTCTATCCATCTACCTAGAGCTGACCAAGGAAGATTTCTGAGCCTTTTGCTGGCAAAGGGATTTCTTACACCCTCCAGCCATGCGTCTTTCTGCCCTTCTGGCCTTGGCATCCAAGGTCACTCTGCCTCCTGGTTACCGCCATGGGATGAGCCGCCAAGGCTCCTTGGCAGACAAAAGGACCAGGCAGCGCCCAGTGGTTGTGGAACCCATCTCTGATGAAGACTGGCATCTGTTCTGTGGGGACGTGGTAAGAGCCTCATACAGGGGTAGAGTGATGGGGAGCCTCCTGGGCAAGGATCCCCCTCCCTAACCTTCGTATCTTCCCACAGGTGGAGATCCTGGAAGGCAAGGATGCTGGGAAGCAGGGCAAAGTGGTTCAAGTTAACCGGCAGGAAAACTGGGTGTTTGTGGAAGGGCTGAACACAGTAAGTAGAGAGGATGGGGATGCTTGGAAAGCCTGTCCCATCTGGCCCTCTCCATTCAGAGCAGCACAGGGTGGCAGGAGACTGGCTGAGGGGATGGTGGCACTACTGAAATTTTACTTTTCAACTTAGGCTGAATGCACTGAGTAGCAAGGGCAAACCCCTTTCACACCCTTTGCTGACACTCCCCTCTCTTGAACAGTATTACCGCTACGTTGGCAGGACCCCGCATTCCCGGGGAACCATGATCCCTGATGAAGCCCCCTTGCTCTACCGCCAGGTCAAACTTGTGGATCCTATGGACAGGCAAGCAATGGGGCTCTGGGCAGAGGGTTTCTCACCCTCTGGGTCCACAAAGTGCTGTACAATGGGAATGGTGGGTTGGATGCTCAAGAAATTGAGGGACCATCTCATGGACATGACTCCCTGTGGGTAACGCCAACACCGAGGTGGAGAAACACGGTGGTAACCGTAGTGTTCTGAACTACTGACTCTGCTTTTGGGTTAGAGGATGGCAGGAAACCTGACTCATAGGCCAGACTCACCTCTTCTATCCACCAGGAAACCCACTGAGATCCAGTGGAGATTTACTGAAGCAGGAGAGCGGGTACGAGTCTCCACACGATCAGGGAGAATCATCCCTAAACCCGAATTTCCCAGAGCTGATGGCATCATCCCTGAAATGTGGACTGGTGAGAGCGAGGGGCGGGAAGGCCCAGGGCGGGAAAGTCCAGGATGTTGCTAGGAGTGAAAGTAGGGGATGTTAATGAAAGTGGGCAAGCCCTCCTACCCATCTCCTTTCCTCCGGCCTAACAGATGGCCCCAAAGACACATCAGTGGAAGATGCCTTAGAAAGAACCTATGTGCCCCGTCTAAAGACACTGCAGGAGGAGGTGATGGAGGCCATGGGGATCGTGGAGACGCGGAAACACAAGAAGGTCTATTGGTATTGAGCCTGGGGAGAGCAGCTCCTCTCCCACTCTTTCCCAGCCTTGAAGGCTGAGGCACCCCTTTTTCAGATGCCAATAAAGAGCTGTTTATGAGTCTTTCTGTGTATAGCTGCTGTCTCTGGTAGAATGGTACTAATCCCAGCACACTCTCAGGGACTGAAGGGAAGGAGTGTCTTTCCTGAGTTTATGACAGAACCTGGATGGAAGTTAGCCGGCCTTAAGGCAGCCCTCCAAAGGGGCAAGGACTACAGATTCTGGGTTGGAGGTCAAAGTCAGTAAGAGAAGTCCCCTCCATGGAGATCTGTGAGTAACAGAAACTGTCACCTACACCACCTACTAGGGAGGGCAGTGGGGAGTGGTCTGTGAGTCCTAACTGTAGCACCCCTGCAGCAGTGCCATAGGGAGGGTGTGCATCTCCTTTTAGCTACCTACAGAAATGGGAAGGAAACAAAGATTTCCAATTTTTAATAAATTAAAACTTTATACTGTATTACATAATCCATGGAGGGAGAGAAAAGGGATGGAACTAAAGGTTTGTGGGGAACCAGGCTTCAGGAGGATGCAGGATGCTGGTTCTCTGGGTGAGGTATACTCTGCCACACTGTGCAGATGATGGGGTGTGAGATGTGTCCTCAGGCTGCATCAGCTGTTTTCAGTCTCCAGAACAGAGAAAGCCTGACCCAGGGGCATCTTGGTGGCCACCAGAACCAGGTTTCTGGGAGAGAGTTCAGGACTGAAGATGGGCAGAAGCTCAGCATGGAAGCCTGGGAGAAAGGAAGGGCTGAATCAGAGGGGGAAAAATGAACCAAACTCACTCAGCCTCTTTTGCCCAGGCCTGCAGATACAGTCCCTTTTCCCCATGGGGAGGATCCAGCAGGGCTAAGACCCGTTCTCCATAAGGAACACAGGCTCCCAAGGCACTGACTTGGGAAGCAGTCCTCTTGCATTGTAGGTTCTCAATGCCTGGGAAGCTTGCTTAACACGCACCTTAGGGAGGCTCACCAGAGGCTGATTTGGTAGGAATCTTAATTTTTTTTTTTGAGATGGAGTTTGTGTTGCCCAGGCTGGAGTGCAGTAGTGCAATCTCGGCTCATTGCAACCTACGCCTCCCAGGTTCAAGCCATTTTCTTGCCTCAGACACCCGAACAGCTGGGACTACAGGCATGCTCCACCACCCTAATTTTTGTATTTTCAATAGAGACGGGGTTTCACCATAGCTGGCCTCAAACTCCTGACCTCAAGTGATCTACCTACCCTGGCCTCCCAAAGTGCTGAGATTATAGATAGGCATGAGCCACTACACCTGGCCTAGATTCTTAATTTTAACAAATCCCCTACTCCCAACCCACTAGTGACTCAAAGGTGGGGTCCAAGAATCACAGCAGTGATCAGCTGGGCCACCTGAAACCTGGAGAAGGAGCCCCAGAACTCCAACCCCTATAGTCCTTGTGTCCCTGCTGTAGGCCACCCTTACCCTGCTCCTGTAGGTACAGCAGCCGGTCCAGTAGAATAAGCGTCTCCACCAGTGGGGCCAGCAGCAAGGCCAGGCTGAAGAAGGCCACCACACGGTTCTCCTGGGCCTGGTGGGCCTGAAGGGCAGCCAGGTTCAGTGGCAGCTGGGGGTCCAGCCCCACTCGCTGTAGCCCCCGCTGCACATACCTGTGGGATCGGTCACATTCAGTATTCAGTTTGGTTTTAAGAACTGTCACTTCTCACTTACACTTTGCTTGTTCCTACTTCAATTCCAACTTTATCTTCCACCCTAATAGGTGTTTTCATGTATATATTATGTTTTTGTTTTTGTTTTTGTTTTTTTTGAGACAGAGTTTCGCTCTGTTGCCCAGGCTGGAGTGCAATGGCACGATTTCAGCTCACTGCAACATCTGCCTCCCTGGTTCAAGCAATTCTCCCTGCCTCAGCCTCCCAAGTAGCTGCGATTACAGGTACCCACCACCACCCCCGGCTAAAAAAAATTTTTTTTTTTTTTTTTGGTATTTTTAGTAGAGATGGGGTTTCACCATGTGGGCAAGGCGGGTCTTAACTCCTGACCTGAGGTGATCCACCCACCTCAACCTCCCAAATTGCTGGGATTAGAGGCGTGAGCCACCATGCCTGGCCATATACATGTATTTTTTAAGACAGGCTCTTGCTGTCAACCAAGCTGGAGAGCAGCAGTGGGCTCATAACTCACTGCAGCCTCAAATACCTCAATCCTCCCACCTCAGCCTCCCAAGTAGCTGGGTCTACAGGTATGATCTACCATGCCTGCCTACTTGTTTTGTATAGACAAGGTCTCTCTACATTGCCCAGGCCGGTCTCTAACTCCCAGCCTCAAGCAATCCTCCTGCCTTGGCCTCCCAAAGCGCTGAGATTATTGGCATGAGTCACCATAACTGGCCATGCATTTTTTAATGTTTCTCTAGCTGTGAGCTCTGTTCAAAAGAAAATTTATTTAAACATTTTTAGCCAGTTCTGTCCAACTAGCCATATTTTTAACATTTAAAAAATTTTATTTTTTTTGACACAGAGTTCCCGCTCTGTCGCCGAGGCTGGAGAGCAGTGGTACAATCTTGGCTCACTGCAACCTCCGCCTCCTGGGTTCAAGTGATCTCCTGCCTCAGCCTCTGGAGTAGCTGGGATTACAGACATGTGCCACCACCATGCCCAGCTAATTTTTGTATTTTTAGTAGAGACGGGGTTTCACCATGTTGGCCAGGCTGGTCTTGAACTCCTGACCTCAGGTGATCCACCCACTTCTGTCTCCCAAAGTTCTGGGATTACAGGCCATGAGCCACCACATCCAGCCAAAACTTTATGTTTCTTTGTTAGTTTCCTGATAAAAGAGAGACAACTCTCTTAAAGAAATTTTGAGAAGCTGCTCTGGTCAGAACTCCAAATCACTCCCTCTGGGTACACTTAGATTTCCTTTAGGCTCTGCTGAAAGTGAGGGTTGAAGATCTTCAGTGAGTGACCTCCCCTCCATTGCCCCCCACCCCAGTCCCCCAATCTCACTCTTCAATCTTGAGCTCGTGGACCCTGGGGATGCCCTGCACGCCTGGCCGACGGAGCTCAGGCTGGGCCCGTCGGATGACTGTCTCCAGTGCTGCACGGTAGCAGTGAGTTCGGAGGCCAGGGACAGCTTTCCGGAGCCGCTCAGCATATTCCTCCAGGGCATGGCAGGCCCCCTCCCGAAGCCTGTAGGGCAGTTCATAGCCAGGCAGCCCAGCCACCCACTGACTCAGTGGGTAGCCACCAGGGTCACTCAGCTTCATATAGCAGCAGCCCACTAAGGCCAGGGCCACCACCTCAGGACAGCAGGAGAAGTGCCTCAGCAAGGCAACACTCAGATCCCCACAGGCATGGAGGCCTGTGAGCAGCAAGCGGGCCCTGCCCTGACGTGGGTTCTCCAGTGGAAGCAGAAGCTCCTCACACAGGGCTGTGGGATCTACCCACCTAACCACATGATGTGGGGAGTGACGAGGGCTGGTTTGGACCACCTGTGAAGGCAGGAAAGGACAAAGGCAGATGGGAAGTCTGTTGGCTATCCCCAGGCCACCTCAGGCCACAGGAAAGGATCTATCCTCCATGTTATTCCCCAAGGAGGAATGTGGGAGATAAGCTGGGCATGGAAGAGGGCTGGACCATGAATCAGGAGATGGGATGAATCCTGGACCTGTCAATTGCCATGTACATCTATCTTGTCATCTCTGAGACCCAGCTTTCTTATTTGTAACAAGTCTAAAACCTGACTGGCCACTTAACTGGTTGTAAGAAGTGCACATTGGTGTAGAAAGCATTCTGTAAATAGAAAATACCTTTGAGACACGAGGGGGCACTGGGGAAGGGCGGACCTTGGGAAACAGGTAATAGAAATTAGACATCACACCGCTTCAAGCTGAGAAACTTGAAAGATGGAATCCAGCCTCTGTGCCCAATTCCAGCCAAGCAGCCCCAGCTCCTGCAGTCCAGGCTGCAGAAAGGGGTGGCCTACCTGCGGGTTTCTCTTCTCCTCTTTCTCCAGAGCCTGCAGAAGCTCCTGGTCCAGGTGCTGGGCTCTCGCCACCAGTCTCTGATCCCCTTCGATGCTCTTTACCATCAACCCCAGGCCAAGAGCCATGAAGCGGGAGAGATGACCCTGGAGTCGTAAGAGGGAGGACGGAGACAGCCCTGCTCAGTGCCCTATCCACTGTCACCCTCCCCACAGGTAGCCTGGACACCTAGGTCTCAGGTCCCACAGAAAGTTTACATTTTACCCTACAGAACTTATTAACATCAGTGTGGCTTAAGTTGGAATATAACCCTCCCCCTACAATTGTTAAATCTGACTGGCTTAAAAAACAATTGTACAAAAAGAAAAAAAAAAATCTGCCCTGCTTGGTTCCACAGCTTGACACCTGCCTCACTGGGCCTGTGGCCTGATAACCTGCCTCCTGGCTATTCTATCTCCCCACGACTCAAAAAAACAGTACATCAAGACTCTGGCTCACCTGGCCTGAGCCCACATCTACAACCTGGGTGCAGCCTGTGAAGTCACTCAGCTTCTTCACCAACTGAAAGAGGAGGGAACAAAGGTCTCCTGGCCACTGGTTCTTGACTCCTGGGGCAAACACCCATACTGAGAGTGGAGGAGACAAAGATGACAGTGAAAGATGGACAGAGGGTGCTCCAGAAGTGATGGCAGATACGAAAAGAAAAGATATGGGGTGAGGGTGGAAGCGAGGAGAGTGGATCTGACCCCAGGTTCAGGCCACTCTCCTTGCCCCACAGGTCAGTGATTCAATCTCTCCCACATAAGAAGAACCCTGCTATGACACCATGAGCAGATTCAGATGTGAGAACAGGAATGAGATTGTGATTCAGACCTAGCTATTAAGCAACCCCACAAAATGATGAAAAAGAACCCCAGCATCAAAATATGATTATAGTTATGTCTGTTGAGGCAAGAGAATGTCTAGGGCCTCTGGCCTTGCATGTGAGGTAACTCAAGGAGTCCCTGGGCTTCCAGATACCACCCATACTCCAGCCATCTCCTCACCTCTCCCAGCCTCCGGATCTCATGCTGCTTCTTGGGCCTGACATGTTTCCGGAATGGAGCTGTTAGTCGAGAGCTCTGGCTGGGGTTCTCCAGGAACTCTGAGGGGGTCTGAAAGCCAGGCGTCCGGGTAAAAGCCAGGGCACAGGCCGTGGACTTCAGGGCCAGCAGGGTGAGTGGCCATACTGACCTGTACCTGAGATAGTCCAGCCCAGGCCTCCAGTGAATGGTCCCATCACATCTGAGTGCACCACTTTACACCCCAAGGTCCAGGAAGACCTTCTGAGACTCTGAGCAATATGCTCAATGCAGGGCTCAAAGCAAAGGGTTCCCCAGCACAGGGTCCTTCTAGCCCATACCTGATGACCTCCCCTTCTCCAGGCATCCCCAGCAGCAGTGTGGCCAGCTGTGGTGGGTTCAGTCCATCCAATGCTTCCTGCCATGAGCAGGGAAGTGTGTCCCAGAGGTTGTCTGTGAAAAATTCCTACAGGAGAAGGGGAGAAGCAATCAGCAAGCTACTATCACTCTCAACTCTACACCTCACTGCCTGCCTCTTTCTTCCCAGCACTGCTGCCACATAGGGCCACTGGCTGTAACCAGCAGGTACCTTCTACTCAGCCAAGTCAGTCAGTTCTCTGAAGCCTTCTCTAGCCTCCCCAACTCTCTGGTGGCTGAACTCTGTTTCCCTGGAATCCAGATTGCATTCTGGACACACTTCTTTGAGCAATTTCTGCACTTATTTGTGTCTGTTTTCTCTATTAAACTGAATTTTTTTTTTTTTTTTTTGAGATGGAGTTTAGCTGTTGTTACCCGGACTGGAGTGCAATGGTATGATCTCGGCTCACCGCAACCTCTGCCTCCTGGGTTAAAGCAATCCTCCTGCTTCAGCCTCCCAAGTAGCTGGGACTACAGGCACGTGCCACCATGCCCAGCTAATTTTTTGTATTTTTAGTAGAGACGGGGTTCCACCATGTTGACCAGGATGGTCTCGATCTCTTGACCTCGTGATCCACCCGCCTCAGCCTCCCAAAGTGCTGGGATTATAGGTGTGAGCCACTGTGCCCAGCCTAAACTGAATTTCTTAAGGGGAGGGATGGTACCTTCACATATGCATCCCTAACACGAGTGACTGACACACAGTATTAGTATATTACCACTTAGTAACCTGCCATTATATGCACCAGACACTGGTGTCTTATTTATTCATCCGTCCATCACACATTCTGAGCTGTTTTGGTTATACACCGTAGGCTCAGGGGATACAACAGTGGGCCTTAAGACAAGGTTCTGGCTCTGGCAGAGTTTACGTTAAAAAATAACTTCAGACAACATCAAATGTCACACAGACAAATAAAACACTAATGAAACAGTAATGTAATGAAGAGTTTGGGCAAGGACTACTTTAAATCAGATGATGAGGGCAGACTTGTCTGGGGAGTTGACATTTGAGCTGAGACTTGAATGATGAATAGGTGTTAGGCATGTACAGAAAACACAGGTAATAGCAAACACTTAGTTACCACCTTCTCTACCAGGCACTGTTGTAAATATTTGACGTGTATTAATGCATTTGATCCTTTAAACAATCCTTTGAGATAGGTACTATTTTCTTTTTTTAAGACAGTCTTACTCTGTCACCTAGGCTGAAGTGCAGTGGCACAATCTCGGCTCACTGCAACCTCTGCCACCCAGGTTCAAGCGATTCTCCTGCCTCCTGAGTAGCTGGGATTACAGACGCGTGCCAGCACGCCTGGCTAATTTTTGTGTTTTTAGTAGAGACAGGGTTTCACCATGTTGGTCAGGCCGGTCTCCCAACTCCTTACCTTGTGATCCACCTGCCTTGGCCTCCCAAAGTGCTGGGATTACAGGCATGAGCCACTGCACCCGGCTAAGGTAGGCACTATTTTTTATATCCCATTTTACAGATGTAGAAACAGGCACAGCCCTTAAGTAACTTGCCCACGTCCAAAAGCTAGTAAATAGCTGAGCTGGCATTTGAAACCAATTTTACTCTAGAGTCCTTGCTCTTAACCATTCTGTGATTGTGTCTCTGTGGAGGAAAAGCATTCCAGTCAGATCAGGAAGTGCAAAGATCCAGATGCCTGCCATATTTGCAAAACAGAAATCAGGCCAGTGGAGGTACAGCATAGTGAAGTGTGTGAGAGAATAAAATGGGATAGAATTAAGGGACAGTAGGAGCCAGATCATGGGCTTCACAGGTAATAGTAAGGAAAGGATTTCATTAAAGTACCTGGGAAGCAAGGGACTGTCATGATGAGATTTACAACTGAATGCTACCCATCTAGCTGCTCAGTGAAGAACTGGCAGTAAGTAGTTCAGAAAAGAGGTGATGGTGGCTTGGCACAGGGTGGCAGCAACGGAGGTGGAGACAAATGGAGGAATTTGGGAACTATTCTGAAGGCAGAGCCAAGAAGACTTGTTGAAGGACTGAGTCGTGGATCCATGAAGGACAATGCTGAATGAAGGATGGCCTCTGGGTTTGTGGTCTAAACAATTCAGTGGATGGTGGTGCCATTTACACATTCTCTCATTTATTCTTCACACTGATCCTTCAGACTGGGATCCGTTTGATAGCTGAGGAAACCCGGGCTAGGACAAGCTGAGGGTTGGGGAGGCTGGATTCTAGACCAAGCCTTTTTGATTCCAGAGCCAGGGCTGTCTACTACACCACAAAACCATGAATGTATCAAAAACTTGGATGAATAACGTGTATTCTTGGATCCCCTCACATGTTCCAAGAAGAGTTCAACATAGCTGCAGCATGGCTCCAACGTCCACGCGTTTTATTACCTTGGATCTAGGAAGATTACAAAAACAATCTAGGCAGATATTAGAAATATTATTATTTATGCCAGCTGGAAAAAAACGAGGGAACACCCTAGTTTTAACCCCTTTTTGTACAGACAAAAGACTGAAACTCATAGAAGGAAAGAGATCAAACTCTTCAGATTCTCTCCCTGACGTGGGCACCTAATCACACAATCAGAGACACCCCGCCCACGCCCCTGTGGCCTCACGATGATGTAGGCATCCAGGATGGGACGGTAGAGCGCCAGGACACGGGTGAGGTTAACAGCTAGCTGCCTCCTCCCCTCATGAGAGAGGCCTCGGGCGGAGATGCCCGGCATCCCGAGGTCCAGAAGGGAGCGCTGGGAGCGAGAACGAAGTGAACAGGGATCCAGGGTCAGTACCACGCGGGTCCAGGACCCAGACGGGGCTCAGCCCCGCAGGCAGAACAGGAAGTTTTGAGTCCAGTCTCCGACGCTGCCTTTCCGGGATCCCATGCTGGAGTTGAAGATTTGAGGCGTCCCCCTGACGACACAGGTCCCGACGTTTCACAGGGCGAAGGTGTCAGCGTCGGAGACACGTGGGGCGGGGTAACAGTGTGCAGTGACGCCACAAAAGCGTGCCGCGGAGCTCAGCTCACAACAAGGGGGCCAAGTGCCAGGTCCCGTCCCTTCCCGTACACTCCTCTCCCCTTCCGGAAGAGAAGCCGGAGGTATCCGGCGGGCTGCAGTTCCGGTTTATCTTGGCCTTCCCACACCTTCGCATTGTACCACCACGGGGCTAGAGGGGCCGGGGAGCGCATCCCGTCCCCGCCCCCTCCTCCGCCGCCACTGCTGCCACTGCAGCTCCTGACACACTCCGAATCTCTGGCCTCGCTACCTGAGGTCGGGGCGCTGCGAGTGCGAGCGCGCAGACCTCTGATGCGTTTTAATCTGCGCGCCTGCCTTTCCGGGCTTCGTCGGCGCGCACCAATTTCCGCATCCGGCTCCGGACGCTTCCGGTTTTAGCTGGGCTCATGTTGGAGGTAGGTTTGTGAGCGTGAGTGGACTGTCTCTACCGCCGCGGGGATCCGAAGTATGCTTATCCAGGTGGGCTACCTCGAACCTCGATCCCCCCTTCTCCGCCCCACTCGAGTAGGTGGTGTCAAGGTCCTTGTTGGGAGAAGGACTTGGGTGAGATGCATGTGGAGATTGCCCCCAGTTCCAGCCTGGAGCCAAGGGAAAGGGATGCCTGGATTTTTGTCTTTATTCGTGGGCCCTGCGCTGTGGATGCCTGGGTAGCCCAGAGGTTATCTACGCCATGCCCCTCACTGCTTTCGAGCATACCTAGATATTTCTTTCTTAGGCGGAGTGTAGAGCTCACGTATTCTGGCCTCTTAGACTCATAGAGGGTTCGAGCTCTAAGGGCCCTTCCAGTCCCTTCATTTTACAAATGAGACTCAAACCTAGAGGACGGCAATGACCTTAGTAAGACCAAACGGCTGGTGAATTGGGCTTCTCTAGAATCCAGGCTTGCTGGCTAACACCAGTGCTCTCTCCAACATTTCATGTTATGTTTCCCTTTCCCCTCTGAGAGATTGCTCTAATGTCTTTCCTCCCGTAAGTCCTACGGAGATCGATCTCACCTCATTTCTCTCCCAGGCCTGGGAGCTCAATTACTAGGATCGCTTTCTTCCCCAGGTGTGCCAGAGACTTCCACATGTTGGACAGTAGGATTCAGCAGAGAATGAGCCCCACATCCTCTTTTCATCCATAAGCCACTCTTCGCAACTGCTCTTCCACCTCCCATTGTCCCTATGTCTACTTTACTGCTCAATCTGGATTTCGGGGAACCTCCTCCCAAAAAGGCATTAGAAGGAAATGCCAAGCACCGAAATTTTGTCAAGAAGCGGAGGCTGTTAGAACGGAGAGGCTTTCTGAGTAAAAAAAACCAGCCCCCTGGCAAGGCACCTAAGTTGCACTCTGAACCTCTAAAGAAAGGGGAAACTCCGAAGGTGGATGGCACTTGGAAGACCCCTTCTTTCCCAAAAAAGAAGACAGCTGCCTCCAGTAATGGGTCAGGACAGACCCTGGACAAGAAAGCTGCAGTGTCTTGGGTGACCCCTGCCCCTTCAAAGAAGGCCGATTCTGTCATGGCTAAAGTAGATTTGCTGGGGGAGTTCCAGAGTGCCCTTCCAAAGATCAGTAGCCACCCAGCCCACTCCCAGAAGAAGGGCCTCCAGAAGAAATCCTCTAAGAAGAATCATCCTCAGAAGAATGCCCCACAGAACTCCACCCAGTCTCATTCAGAGAAGAAATGCTCCAGAGCATTCCAGAAGTTGCCACAGAAGATGGTGGCAATTGACTGTGAGATGGTGGGCACAGGACCCAAGGGGCATGTTAGTTCCTTGGCTAGATGTAGCATTGTCAACTACGACGGAGATGTGCTTTATGATGAGTACATCCTTCCCCCCTGCCAAATTGTGGACTACCGGACCCGATGGAGTGGCATCAGGAAGCAGCACATGGTGAATGCTACACCCTTTAAGATTGCCCGAGCCCAGGTAAGATTGCCCGAGGCCAGTTAAGAAGGGGCTTGATGGTGGCAGGGAGGTGGGTGGAGAGAGGTCTAAATAATTTTCAGCAAAGGATATCACTATGGGAAGACACCGAAGGTTGGTGGAGGGAGGGAGAATATATCAGTTGTTGAAGAAGGCCCCCTGGCGGTGGAGGGAGCCCTGAAAATCAGGAAGGTACAATTAGCTGGTGTCACAAACTTCATTGATCAAGACCTAGTTTAGCCTGGTGCAGTGGCACTTGCCTATAATCGCAGCACTTTGGAAGGCTGAGGTGGCAGAATCACTTGAGCCCAGGAATTCAAGACCTGTCTAGGCAATATAGCGAGACTCGTCTACAAAAAAGTTAGCCAGCCGGGCACGGTGGATCAAGCCTGTAATCCCAGCACTTTGGGAGGCCGAGGCGGGCGGGTCTAACCAGCCTAACCAACATGGTGAAACCCCATCTCAAAAAAAAAAAAGACCTTAAATCAAAAAGTTAGCGAAGCCTGGAGGTGCATGCCTGTAGTCCCAGCTACCCGGGAGGTCAAGGCCACAGTGAGCTGAGATCACACCACTGCCACTGCACTCCAGCCTGAGTGACGGAGTGAGACCCTCTCTCAAAAAAACAAACAAACAGTTTTTAAGTTCCAAATTGGGTCTGGGGAACTGGGAATTTGCATAGAGGAATAACAGCAAGTGATGAAACTGGACACAGCTGCAGACATCAATGTCAGGAGAAAGGATTTGATTTGGAAATCTTTTGTGAATTGGAACTTGAGAGTGGAAAGGTAGAGAGCTCTTCCCAAGCAAAAAGTAGCCTGGGGCAAGTGCGGAAAGTGGTGGTGGTAAGAGAGGGCAGAAGGTTGACAGGAGGAGCTAGGGTATATTTGTCCAACTGGAATGGGTAGCCTGCAGTGAAGGGCATAAAAGGCACAGGGCCAGACTGGGCACGGTGGCTAACCCCTGTAATCTCAGCACTTTGGGAGGCCGAGGCAGGCGGATCACCTGAGGTCGAGAGTTCGAGACCAGCCTGACCAACGTGGAGAAACCTCACGTTTAATAATTAATACAAAATTAGCTGGGCATGGTTGTGCATGCCTGTAATCCCAGCTGCTCAGGAGGCTGAGGCAGGAGAATCGCTTGAACTTGGGAGGTGGAGGTTGTGGTGAGCCAAGATCGATCGCACTGTTGCCCTCCAGCCTGGAGAACTAGAGCGAAACTCCATCTCAACAGCAACAAGAAAAGGGCACAGGGCCAGCACATCGGGTTGTCATCTCACTCCTAGTCCTGTGCTGGCTGTCGGGATTGCATGGCATGAATAGGAAAGAAGAGTGAGCTGGGAAGGGTAAGAGGAAGAAATGAAAGGGAGAGCAAGAGGGGCGCCTCCTGGTCTCAGGAGGCCACCAGAGGGCGCCCTTGGTCCTCTTCTATGCAGTTTCAGGTCCACACTGCCTTCTGTGGACATGCTGTTCCAATAATGCTTACATGCCATCAGTTGAAGGAGGTTCATTAGAGATGAGGTGACTATTTTTTGAAAAGATGGAAAGAAGAGTTAAATATCCTGTGCGCAAAGGGGCACAGCCGAGCAAAGGCATAGGAGAGGCAGAAGATTGGATGGGTCCGAGACAGCAAATCAGCCCAGCTTTGATGAGGGCTATATGTTGAGATTAATAAGAAATGAAGGTGGCGGTGGACAGTAAGTAGGTGAAGTCAGGAGTAACTAAATATGTAGTGCACAGGACTACATCTGGTTTGCATCATAAAGCACTTCCGCAGTGCCAAGCTGGGGGTATGTCCAGATGAGCCTGGCCTCTTCAAAGGGTGTTCCTTTAGGAGTCTGCAGGACTGTCACTTTTGTTGCACACTTGTTTGGAACCTCATTTTGGGAATGGCCTTCAGAGCCTGTGGCACGTTCTTCGGTTGTCCTCATTGGTAGCATGTCCCCCTGCTTCAAGATCCTGAAATGGCTAGGTGTGGTAGCATGCTTCTGTAATCCCAGCTACTCAGGAGTTTGAGGTGTTACTTGAGCCCAGGAGTTTGAGGCCAACCTGAGAAAAGTAGCAAGACCTCATCTCGTTCTGTCACCTAGACTGGAGAGCAATAGCACGATCTCAGCTCACTGCAACCACTGCCTCCCGGGTTCAAGCAATTCTCCTGCCTCTGACTCCCAAGTAACTGGGATTACGGGTATATATCACCACGCCTGGCTAGCTTTTGTATTTTTAGTAGAGATGGGGTTTCGTTGTGTTGGCTAGGCTGGTTTTGAACTTCTGACCTCAAATGATCCACTTGCCTTGGCCTCCCAAAGTGCTGGGATTATAGGCATAAGCCACCGCGCCTGGCCGAGACCTCATCTCTTTTAAAACATAAGCTTCCTGAAATATTGAGAAGTTATTTTACTTGATTCCAAAACTAGTATGAATAAGGTTCCTTCTACAACTTTAGTTTATACATGATTTTTAATCTTTTATGTTTGTAGCCTCTGAGAATTTGATGAAAGCCACAGACTCCCTTTCTCTAACAATACCCATACACACCCAATTGCATGTGATTTGGGGCTTCTGTTAACCTCCCTGGAGCCTGGGTCCCAGCCATGTGTCTTAAGGCCAGCATAATGATAATAGTTAAAGGACTTCATGTAGCAAGCCAGAACTGAACCGAATACATGGACAACTCAACATGAGTGTCATTTAGGACTGAAGGCAAATTGAGGTCATAGGGGTAGAGACCAATAAGAAGGTAAGGAGCCACTGGCAGGATGAGTCCAAACAGGGTACACCATGGAAATCACCTGTGGAAGATGAAGGTGGATTCCAGAAGAAAGAAACTTGTGGGAGGGAACATTCCAAAGATGAAGAGGTGGGCAGTTGGTGAAAGAATCCAGAAGGGATTGAAGGTCATGTTGGGCTTTCAGAATACAGGGGTTCTGTCTCAGTCTTCCTTCTCACCGCTCTCTTCCACACTTGTTCCAGATCTTGAAGATACTCACAGGGAAGATAGTGGTGGGACATGCCATCCACAACGACTTCAAAGCCCTTCAGTATTTTCACCCCAAGTCCCTCACCCGTGACACCTCCCATATCCCCCCACTCAACCGGAAGGCTGACTGCCCGGAGAATGCCACCGTGTCTCTGAAGCTTCTCACCAAGAAGCTGCTAAACCGGGATATCCAGGTAGCATCGCCCCACATCCCCCACCCCCATCTTGGACATGGCTCTCCCTGATGCCCTAGCCAGACTCTGATCCCGGAAGTCCTGTGGTTTAGAGGTCCAAGTGGGCTGCTATGATGGGAAGAGCTTTGGATGCAGGAGCCCAGTAGTGTCTCTCCATCTGTACACAAGGATAATAATTCCTGTTGTCTACCTCATAGAATGTCTAAAAGACCCTGTGGTGGGTGCAAGGACCACTCGTATTGTGCAGGCTAGCATTTCAGCAAAGGGTGGCCCATCTGGCGGGAAGGTGTGGACATATGTCACATAGAGCACAGGTAAGGAACTAGGGAAAGTGGAAGGCTCGGAAGGCCTGTCTTTGACCTGGTATGTTCTATCTGTCCAGATCCTGATATGGTTTATACATTCTACCACAGAAACGAATGAAGTATACAGTGGCAAAGACTTCCTAGGAGTTGAACCCGTGAAATTGCATAAGGAGTAGGGCCTCACCAGCGTTCTGTCTTTGCAGCCTACTGACTGCAGAAGGAACTAGCGGGGCAGTGGGGAGAGGAGTACAGAGTCCACTGGGAAGGAAGAAATGGGTTCTTGTAGCCTCATGCTCTTGTCTTCCTTGCTTGTTCAGGCTGGGAAGAGCGGACATTCCTCTGTGGAAGATGCCCAGGCCACCATGGAGCTGTACAAGTTGGTTGAAGTCGAGTGGGAAGAGCACCTGGTCCAGAATCCCCCTAAAGACTAGCAGCAGTGGAGATGCTGGTGATGTGGGGAGGCAGAGGCAGTGCCCAGGAGAAACAGCAGCAGACCAGTGACAGCTCCACCAGCTCCTCATCTTTGGAAGCTAGAATTGTGGGGAGAGAGCACTACCCCACACTTAATATGCATTGAAATTTCACCTCAGGTGTTGTGTCCTGTGTCTGGCTAAGTGTCCCATGGAAGGGGGAAGCCTTCACATCAGAACCCAGCCCTATACCGTTTACTTCTTAAATGGTGCTAACCCGGTGTCCAGGGTGCTCTGTGCCAGTCAAGATTTTTAACTTTCAAGTGGCAGGGCATACTGGGAAATGTAGTTTCCCAAGCTGCTTTATCACTTGGGCAGACATTTGTCTCCTTTTATGCCTTTTCGTCTTGAGTGATTAACAGCACCTTCTTCCACGCTCAGAAGTGTCCTGGTTGGGGCCAGGCATGGTGGTAATCCCAACACTTAGGAGACCAAGGTAGGCAGATCACCTGAGGTCAGGAATTCAAGACTAGCTTGGCCAACATGGTGAATCCCCATCTCTACTCAAAATACAAAATATTAGTGGGGCATGGTGACGGGCTTCTATAATCCCAGCTACTTGGGAGGCTGAGGCAGGAGAATCACTTGAGCCTGGGAGGTGGAGATTATAGTGAGCCAAGATCATGCCACTACACTCCAGCCTGGGCAGCAAGAGCGAGACTCTGTCTCCAAAAAAAAAAAGAGATAAAATATGTTACCAATGAGTAGTAAAATTAAAAAAAAAGAAAAAAGTAGGAAAAATAATTTAAATTTAAATAAAAGGAAAAAAAAAAGATTAAAAAAATGTATCAACCTGGTTGGATAATAAATTGTATGGTCCCTTTCCATGTCACAGACTCTGCTTTTGGCTCAGAATCTATATCTAGCCTGTGTCAGGACATTGCCTGTTCTTCCCACCGTGACCTCCAGAGCAGCCATAGCTGGTGAGGTTTAGTTCTTAGGGTTCCAAGGCAGTGTATCGTGGAAATCAACGTTTGTGATTTAGGAAAGCAGTTCTTTCCTAAGATAATGGGGGGTTATTTCATTTAGGCCCCAATTGGTAGGATTTTAAATAATTTATAAGGTGTTTTAATAATTTTGTTGTCTTTTTTTACCTTGCTAAACCAAGCTTCTAAAAACTCAAGTTATTCCGTTGATAAATTTTTATAATGGAAAAGCAATTGTGTATGGTTTCTTCTTAAATTTCATGTTGAATAGCTCTTAGAGGGTTTCCAAGGTCACTGGATGACACTGACTTCCTAGAAGTCATTGAGAAGCACTGACCAAGCCTTTGTGCATAGCCCATGTGACACGTATAGTGCGTTGTTCTCATCCCTACCACACATCAGGACTGGGCATGGTAGCTCATGCCTGTAACCCCAGCTACTCAGGAGGCGGAGGCATGAGGATTCCTTGAGCCCAGGAATTTGAATCCAGCCTGGCCAAAATAGACCCCCATCTCAATTTTTTAAAAAATTAATAAGCACACTTAAAATGACACCCCACATCATGCAACCCTCCCACACACAGGGTGTGTGACCAAGAGTGAGGCAGACGGTGAATCAGAGAGTGGGCATGAAGGAGGGGCAGAGCTGGGGAGAAAGGGTGCTTGGTGACGGCAGCGTGATCCCGCTGCCAGCCCTTGCTTGGTGGTACACACCCCATCTTGGGAAACAGTCACCAGTCTGACCTTGTGTCCAGGATCATTATCTGCACTTTCTTGAGAGAATGCAGACTCCATGTCTACACCAGGAGTTTTGCATTCTTGAGTGGCTGGTCTGGTTCCAGGGGCCAGAGTCACAGTCACAACTGCCTATAGAAGGGAATTTCCTGCAGCCAGACTGGACTCCAGACATGGTCTTGTGGCCTGCACTGTGGAGTCTGTTTGCACAGGCAGCCATTGTGCTCTGAGCAAATTGGTTCCTGTGGGGCCCGATATGTTTAATGCGCATGACTTCACAAAGGGCTGCCAGGTACCCTTACACAGCAAGAAGTGAGAATAGTGCAGGGAGGCAGCACCAAACACTGGTAGGAATCCACATGGAAGCAGTTCTTCACTGGAATCAGGAAACTGGAAGATAACTGGAATCTTCTCATTTGTTTTGTTTCTTCCCAAAGTGCTGGGATTACCGGTGTGAGCAGCTGAAACAAAATTAGCCGGGTGCAGTGGCTCACACCGGTAATCCCAGCACTTTGGGGAGCTGAGGCAGGAGGATTACTTGAGCCCAGGAGTTTGAGAGCAGCCTGGGCAACATAATGAGACTCCATCTCTACGGAAAAAAAAAAAACAAAAACCTGGCTTTGCATGTGTCTTGGTAAAGTAGCAACGGGCTTTTATGATCTACCTACTTCCCACCCCCATGTCTAAAAAGGCAGATGACTCTGCTACAGCCTGAAAACAGAAGTACCTGATCTCAGTCCAATGTTGGAAAGAGTTCACTCTTACTTTTGCTCACCAAGAAGAACCTGGGAGACCAGAAGACCATGCAGACAACTCCTTAACTCTTTACCCTCATCACTCTCTCTTGTCAGAGCCCAGCTTACCTAGCAAGGGTGCTTGGGAATCCCCTTTCCTTCAATCCCCTTGCTGTTCTGTCTGTCCTGGCTTCATCCCATTGAGAGTGGACAAACTCTATTGTAGATTGCCGCCTGAACCCCAGTCAGCAAGTCCTGTTTTGCCTTAAATCTAAGGTCTTGCTAGGTGCGGTGGCACACGCCCATAATCCCAATGCTGAAACGCCAAGACAGATCACTTGAGGTCAGGAGTTCGAGACCAGCTTGGGCAAAGTGAAATCCCATCTCTACTAAAAATACAAAAATTGGCCAGGCACATAGGTCGTATGCCTGTATTCCCAGCTACTCAGCAGGCTCAGTCAGGAGGATAGCTTGAACCCAGAGGCAGAAGTTGCAACGAGCCAAGATCGTGCCACTGCACTCCACTCCAGCCTGGGCAACAGAGTGAGGACTCTGTCTCAAAAAAAGAAAAAAAAAGTAATTAAAAAAAAATCTAGGCCAGGCACAGTGGCTCATGCTGGGAGGCCAAGGTGGGTGGATGATCTGAGGTTGGGAGTTCAAGACCAGCCTGACCAATGCAGAGAAACCCTGTCTCTACTAAAAATACAAAATTAGTTGGGCATGGTGGCACATGACTGTGATCCCAGCTACTCAGGAGGCTGAGGCAGGAGAATTGCTTGAACTCGGGAGGCAGAGGTTGTGGTGAGCTGAGATTGCACCATTGCACTCCAGCCTAGGCAACAAGAGCAAAACTTTCTCAAAAAAAAAAAAAAAAAAAATCTATGGTACTTTGTCTTGCAAATGCATGACAAAATGTGAGCTTTTGCTAGTAATATTCTTTTCATGGCGTAATGAAGTTTTTTGTTTTTTTTGAGATGAAGTTCTACTTTTATTGCCCAGGCTCTTCAGTGACGAATTCTCAGCTCACTGCAGCCTCCTCCTCTCGAGTTCAAGCAATTCTCCTGCCTCAGGCTCCCTAGAAGCTGGGATTACAGGTGCCCACCACCACGCCTGGCTAATTTTTTTGGATTTCTGGTAGAGGTGGGATTTCACCATGTTGCCCAGGCTTGTGTCGAACTCCTGACCTCAGGTGATCTGGCCGCCTCAGCCTCCCAAAGTGCTGGGATTACAGGCATGAGCCACCGTGCCTGGCTGAAGTTTTCTAATACTAAAAGAACCTCTTCTACAAGTGAGACTGGAAAAAGGGTGTAAGAGCATACTCTGGTGAACATAGTTGCAATAGTGTAAAACTTCATTTAACAAAGTAGTTCTCAAAAGGAGAAGGGCGCATGTATTTTGAGGTTTTAGGCTTTAGCACTACTCCTCTCTCTGCCCTTAAGAACCAGTGATCTAGGGAAGGCTTCAAGGAGGAATCATTTGTTTACCAGTTTAATAGATAATTACAGGACAATAGGAAAGATCAACAGTACCGTAATTATGAACTTGCCCCAAGGTACATTAGCCCAAGTTCAAGTTTAGAGAGATAAATACCTAAGAATGCGATATGCCAGGTGCTTCTATGAATATCCTGAATCCACAGTCTGGGTGTAATATAGGTCACAAAGCACTTTCACCAAAGAGCTGACGGCTTAAAGAAGTGACTTTGCATTGATAATGGGTTCCGAACTTGATTTTGCCACTTACTAAATTTGTGACATGAGTAAGTCACTTTGATTTTTGGAGTCTTTATTTATTATTATTTTTTGAGACGGAGTCTCTGTCATCAGGCTGGAGTGCAGTGGCTCGATCTCAGCTCACTGCAACCTCGATTTTTGGAGTCTTAATGGTTCTAGTTCCAAAATTCTGGGATTTTTTTCTAATCTTGATATTTAACTGATTGTTGCTTTCATCAATAATAATAATAATGGCAACCATTTTTTGAGTGCTTCTCTGTGCCAGGCAGTGTGCTAACCCCTTTAGATACATTATCTTGGTCTGGTGCGGTGGCTCACACCGGTAATCCCAGCACTTTGGTAGGCCAAGGCAGGTGGATGGTTGAGGCCAGGAGTTCAAGACCACCATGACCAACATGGAGAAACCCGACTCTACTAAAAATACAAAAAATTAGCTGAGTGTGGTGGTGCATCCTGTAATCCCAGCTACTCGAAAGGCTGAGACACAAGAATTGCTTGAACCCGGGAGGCAGAGGCTGTAGTGAACCGAGATCATGCCACTGCACTCCAGCCTGGGTGACAGAGTGAGACTGTCTCAAAAAAAAATAAAGTAAATAAAAAGATGCATTATCTCAGTCTCTGTAAGGTAGGTGGTATTGTAATGCAACAGTTGAGGAAACAGGCTGACAAAAGATAAGAAATATTTCCCAGGCCAAATAGCTGGAGGTTGGCAATGCTGGCACTCAGACTTCCCAGGTCTGCCAATCTGAAGTCTCTGCCCTTAACCACTGCCCTGTTCTGCTGTTAACACATTCAAGTGGCATTTGGTGAGACTTGGACTCTTGCTACTGAAATGTTTATTAAGCACCTGCTACGTGTTAGGCTTGTGCTAAGACTGGGGAAATGGGCATGGTCTTTGCCCCTGAGTTGCTTACAGCAACCTGAAGAAGAGAAACCAGTCAACTATTTTCAGTGCACTGTGGCAAGTGTCATTCCGAGTTATTGAAGGATTTCAAGCAGGGGTGTGATGAGATCAGATCTGTGGAGTTTTTTTTGTTTTTGTTTTTTGAGCGAGTCCTCGCTCTGTTGCCCAGGCTGGAGTGCAGTCGGCTCACTGCAACCTCCACCTCCCAAGTTCAAGTGATTCTCCTGCCTCAGCCTCATGAGTAGCTGGGATTACAGGCACATGCCACCATGCCCCACTAATTTTTTTTTTTTTTTTTTTTTTTTTGAGATAGAGTCTTACTCTGTCTCCAGGCTGGAATTCAGTGGTGCAATCTCAGCTCACTGCAACCTCCTCCTCATGGGTTCAAGCGATTCTCCTGCCTCAGCCTCCTGAGTAGCTGGGACTACAAGCGCGCACCACCATGCTTGACCAATTTTTTTTTTTTTTTTTTTGAGACGGAGTTTCACTCTTGTTACCCAGGCTGGAGTGCAATGGCGCAATCTCGGCTCACCACAACCTCCGCCTCCTGGGTTCAGGCAATTCTCCTGCCTCAGCCTCCTGAGTAGCTGGGATTACAGGCACACGCCACCATGCCCAGCTAATTTTTGTATCTTTAGTAGAGACGGGGTTTCACCATTTTGACCAGGATGGTCTCGATCTCTTGACCTCGTGATCCACCCACCTCGGCCTCCCAAAGTGCTGGGATTACAGGCTTGAGCCACTGCGCCCAGCCAACTTGACCAATTTTTATATTTTTAGTAGAGACCGGGTTTCACCATTTTGGCCAGGATGGTCTCAATCTATTGACCTCCCACAGTGCTGGGATTACAGGCATGAGCCACCACAGATCTGTTTTGCTTTTTTTTTTTTTAAGAAGATGATGCTGGCAACCAAATGGAAGCTCAATTGAAGAAGTCCCCAGAGATGAGTTCTGTTGGGAGAACTGTATAAGCAATGATGGAGGCCTCAATGAATGAAGCAGGAGGATGCATCTGAGTGTCACTGAGGAGGTAGAATCAATAAGGCAGAGATCAGGGCAAGAGATAAAAGGTTGACTTTATATTTCTGAATTAGGGTGAGTAGGCAGTAGTGCTGCCATTGGAGAGAA